AGGTGGTCGTCTCTCGGCCTCGCGCTCTAGCGCCCGTGCGGTGCGGTGACAGGCTTCGCCCAGGGGACAGGAGGAAGCCGGAGCGGCGCTGCCGGGCTTCGTGGGGTGCCGGGCTGGGCCCGCTCGCTACTGCCCCGGGGCCCTGCTGCCTCCCCAGCCCTGCCCCGGGGCGGAACCGAAGGAAGGAAGGAAGGTCAGGGCTGGCCGCCTCGTCGCGTCCCTCTGCTTCCCGCCGCAGTCGCTGTTCAGTCGGTGGCTCGCTGTTAGCTTGGACTCCAGCCACGTGCACCTTCATGGCGGCCTCGCAGGTCCCGGGGGAGAAGATTAGCATCCTGGCGGAGGAGACAGCAGCCACGGCCAGGGACAGGGACCTGTTGGGGGACGACCGTCTGGAGTGGGACAGGCCTCTCCCGCGCTCCTGGAGGCAGAAGTGCGCCTCCTATGTGCTGGCCCTGCGGCCCTGGAGCTTCAGCGCCTCCCTCACCCCGGTGGCCCTGGGCAGTGCCCTGGCCTATAGATCCCAGGGCGTCCTGGATCCCAGGCTCTTGGTGGGTTGTGCCGTGGCCGTGCTGGCTGTGCACGGGGCTGGGAATTTGGTCAACACTTACTATGACTTTTCCAAGGGCATTGACCACAAAAAGAGTGATGACAGGACCCTGGTGGACCGGATCTTGGAGCCCCAGGATGTTGTCCGGTTTGGAGTCTTCCTCTACACTTTGGGCTGTGTCTGCGCCGCTTGCCTCTACTACTTGTCCACTCTGAAACTGGAGCACTTGGCTCTCATCTACTTTGGAGGCCTGTCAGGCTCCTTTCTCTACACAGGAGGTAAGAATTGGCCTGATTCCCGTGCTGGAGGTCGTAGTTGCATGTATACTGAAAACTGCTGCTTTGCGTAGGAGTTCGGACTAGAAGAGTGGTATCAAAAGTTCTTTTTTCAGTTAGGCCACTTATGTGACATCTATAAGTGAGTGGGGTCATGTGGATTATTTTGAAAACAGGAGTGGGTTGAAAAAATCCCGGCTTGGCTTCTGGATGTTAGAAATGACTCGTGTGTGTGTGTGTGTGTGTGTGTGTATGACATATATATACACACATATATATAAAAATGACTCATGAGTCATATTCATATATATGGAAACTTTTTGTATCTAATTTCTTTTTGTTATACATGTCTTATAATGCCACCGTTTCAAATTTTAGTGGAATTAACTCGAGAGCTCAAAATTGTACAGCTGATTACTTTCAGCTAGTTTGCTAGGCGACTCACTGTGGCAGGCTCATTAAGATAGTGATGGCCAAGCGGCTAAGCCCTATTTATTGAGAACTTATTACGTGCCAGCACTATTCTGTGTGAACACAGCAGTCACAGATCCCTGCTCTTGTGAAAGTTACTTTATATATGGTGAGGAGAGGCAGAAAGTAAAAATAGTACGTTATAGTTAGGTTGACCAATGTCCTGGTTTGCTCAGGACTGAGAGAGTTCCCAGGATGTGGGACTTTGGGTGCTGAAACCAGGAAAGTTCCTGGTAAGTTACGATGAGTTGGTACCCTAATTATTGTATATGAAAAGATGATTAGTGCTTTGGAGAGAAATAGTAAGTAGAGGAAGGGAGGGGGACGTCATGGACTGTTTTAAGTAGTTTGATTAGGGATGGCCTCATCAAAACGGTAACACATGAGCAAAGATTGAAGGAGGTGAAAGGTGAGGGAGTTAGCTAAGCGGAGTGTCCCAGACCTTGGAATACTAATTGCCAAAGGCCTTAAGGCAGGAGTGTCCCTGAAAAGTTTGAGGAGCAGCATGGAGCCCAGGGTATGGATGAGGGAGAGAGTGAAAGGAGGTGAAGTAAGAGAAGTGTGTTTGGTGAGGTCAGGGAGGTACAAAGATTATGTAGGCCATAATGTTTTAACAGGTTTACTCTGGCTAAGTAAGGTATTGAGAATGGATAAAGGGGAATGAGCAAGGGAAGAAGCAGGGGGATGGCGGGGGAGCGGGGTGTTGAGTAATCCAGGCAAGAGATGTTTGGTGACTTTGATCAGGGTGGTAGTGGTGGAGAGGGAAGTAGTAGTCAGATTTCAAATATATTTTAAAGGTAGGCAGGGTTTGCTGATAGATGGGATATGAGGAGAGAAACAGAAGAATTAAGCATAATAACTCAGAGGTTTTGGCCTGAGCAACTTGAATAATGGAGTTGATGTCAAGTGAGATGGAAAAGGTTGAAGATAGTTTGGGGGAGATAATTGACTGAGCATCTTAATATATTAGATCTGTAAGTGGAGATGTCAAATGGATGGTTGGATATAGGAGTCTGAGTTCAGGGGAGAGGTCTGAGCTGGAAATATAGATATTTGGGAATCACTGGCACATAAAGCTGTACGACTAGGTGAGACCACCAGAGGAGGGAGTTTGATAGAAATGTGAAGGGGACCAAGACAGCTCTGGGCACTCTGACATTAAGAGGTGGGGAGTCGAGAAGGAACAGGTAAAGGAAACTGTGATGGAGTATCTGGAGGAGAAAGAAGACCAAGAGACTGGTGTCCTTGCAGCCAACTGTAATGTTCAATAAAGGAAATCAGTGGATGCTGTAACAAAGTATAAGGTGGTATTGGAAGGAAGAGGCCCTCTCTATGAAGGTGACACTTAAACTAAGACTGGAGGATAGGGAGCCAGCCATGGGGCCTGATTCGGGTGCCGAATCCTTCAAGGCTGAAGGAACAGCAAATGCAAATGCACTGGAGTGGAGGAAAGCTTGACATCTAGACCTACGGAGAGGCCAGTGTGTTTGAGAGGGGAATGGAGATACAGTTGGAGAGTTAGGCGGGGGTGGATCATTCTGGTCTTCTAGAGCCTCCGTCTCCTGTGCTGGTTCCTCCTCATTCCCAACTTGCAGGCCTGTCCTTGAACTGCTTTCCTCTGTCTCCATTTCCTCCTCCCGTGATTTTCGCCAGTCTCCTGGCTTCAGATACTATCTGTTAAGCTGTTGACTCTCAGATTTATGCCTCTCTCCCAGCTGTCTCCAGACTCCTATTCAGCTTCTTCCTCAGTAACTTCTCCGAGAGGTCTCCAGACATCTCCAGCTAAACATCTCTGTGATCAAATTCCTGTTCTTTTCCCCAAAGAAACCCGCTCTTCCACACCTTCCCCCTTTTAACTCGATGACAAATTCATCCTTTTAGTCCTTCAGGCTAAAAATCACGGGCAACGTCCCAGCTCTTCTTTCTCACATCTCTCACCCAGTCCGTCAAGAAATCCCGTTGGTTCTACTTTCAACATGCATTTGGGATCTGACCTTTTCAACATGCATTTGGGATCTGACCTTTGCTCACCACGTTCCACCACTGCCACTCCTTATCTCCCTCAAGTATTCAGATTCTTTACTGCTCTCCGTACACCCACCCTTGCCCCTGTCAGGGTCAGCAGCCAGAGTAATCCTGTTAAACATAAGACAGACAGTTACATCAGTCCTCTGCTCAAAGCTTTCTAGTTGCTCCCATCTAGTTCAGAATAAAGGCCAAGGTCATTACAGTGATCCCAGGGCCATTATCTGCCCATCTTCTCCCATCTCCCCCACTCTGATCTGCCCTCTTTCTTTCCTTGTGGACACATGCCCCAGCACACTGCCCTCCTGGCTATTTGTGGACCACCAGGAATGCTCCTGACTCACAGATCCTTTGAAGATTCTCTTTCCTGGAGTTAGAATGCTCTTTCCTATCTGTATGACTCCCCTTCTAACCTACTCTACCCATTTGTCAGCTGTTTAGCTAGGCCTTGCTTTCTACCCTATTTAAAATTACAAAACAAAGGTTTTGCAGCAGCTGAGAAAAAATAAAATTACACATAAACACACAGGTTTTGTGACACCCGCCCCCCCCCAACTTCCCCTATTGCTCTTCTCTGCTTTTTCATCATAGCACATGCTACCTTTTAACATGAGTAAGTACTTACTTTGTTAATTATCTTCCCCCTTGGACTATAAACTCTCTGGGGTTAGGGATTTTAGTTTCCTTATTCTCTGCTGAACCCGTGGTGCCCAGAACTGTGCCTGGCCTGTAGTCAGTACTTAATATTCATTGAATGAACAAATGGGGAGATAATAAAATATATTGAGCAGAGTAATGACATAATCGGATTTTATGGTTTTTTAACACTGTCAATTATATAGCAATAAAAGTCATACTGTGAAGTGCACAGATCTTAAGTATTACAGTTTGATGAATTTTGACAGATGCATATGGCTGTATAACCCCCACCCAATCATGATACAGAACATTTCCATCACCCTCAGAAACTTCCTTGTGCTTCCTCCCCATCCCTGTCCAGAGATGACCAGTGTTCTGATCTCTTTCACGTAGATTCATTTTGCCTGGTCCGGAACGTCATATAAATGGAATCGTTCAGTATGAATCCTCGTCCTGGCTTCTGCTCAGCATGAGGGTTTGGAGACTCGCCAGGTTGTGATGGGCATTAGCAGTTCCTTTGTATTGCTGGGCAGTGACCACTGTGTGGACATACCGCCATTTGCTCATCCATTTTCCTGGTCATCAACATTTGGCTTGTTTCCATATTTTGGCTATTATGCCTGAACGTTTGTGTTCAAGTCTTTTTGTGGATATTTGTTTTCACTTTTCTTGGGTAAATGCCTGGGAAGGGAATTGTTGAGTTATAGGCTAGATGATGTTTAACTTTATGAGAAGTGACCAAAGTGTTTTCTAAAGTGGTTGGTCTGGTCTTTCCCACTATGTGCGAGTGTTCCAGTGGCTCCACATTCTTGTCAACATTTTGATTCATGTTTTAACAGGTTCATTCTGGCTGCCATGTAGAGAACTGTAGTTCACTATGCTGGTTCATTTGGAAAATGGTGTTGGGAGGGGTGGGAGTGCCTTAAAGGAAACTCCCAGGTGGGCCACATCTCTGAGTCAGGTGGAGCAGGTGTGCCACATGTTGGACACTCAGGACACTGGGCTTTCTCCTGAGGGCTCGAGCATTTTCTTGGGTCAGACAGCCTCTAGGAGGTTGCCAGACTTTTCTCATCCCTAGAGTGGGTTTGCGGTTGGGTTTTGGGTAGGGCCTGTTGAAGGTGGGGGCTTATCCTTGCAGGCACAGGTTTCTGTTCAACTTGCTCACATCATTTTTTTGCCAGGTGATCTCAGGAGGTGTTCTTGGGTGATCTAGCCAGAGATCAGGGCTTTAGAGCTGTGTGTCTTCTTCCATAGCCAGAGCCCTTAAGTTCGCTTGGAGAACTGAGAACATAAGCCAAAGGAAAGCAGGCAGGTGGTGGAGAAACTTGCTAGATCTGTGCTGGGAGTATCTCCTGCCCCTCATCTTTCTAGAGCAGCGGTACAGCAGCCCCCCCATATCTGCAGTTTCACGTTCTGTAGTTTCAGTTTTCTATGGTCCAAAAATATTAATGGACAAGTCCAGAAATAAACAGTTTATAAGTTTTAAATTGGGTGCCGCTCTGGGCAGCGTGATGCAATAGCGTGCTGTCTGCTTTGTCCCACACTGGATGTGTATCATCCCTTCGTTCAGTGTGTCCACACTGTGCACACTCCCTGCCTGTTAGCCATGTAGTAACTCCTTGCTCATCACACTGACTGTCGAGGTATTGCAGTGGTTGTGTTCAAGGGACCTTTACTTTACTTGATAATGGCCCCAAAGCACAAGAGTGGTGATGCTGGCGATGCGGATGTGCCAGAGAGAAGCTGTAAAGTGTTTCCTTTAAGTGGAAAGGTATGTACAGTGTGTATATGAAAAAACATGGTATATATATAGTTCGGCACTACCTGTGGTTTCAGACATCCCCTGGGGGTCTTAGATGAGGATAAGGGGGGTTACTATCATCCCTAAATGTGTGAGATACTACAAGAGACATCAGTTTACTAATTCAGAACTGGAGCTAATGTTCTGCTTGAGAGAACTTCCTCCTGGAGGACTTGTCCTCAAGACAACCAAATTATTTATCAAAACACTGCTTGAGTACAGAATTAGCTTGCTGTGTGTTGGTGGGAATAAGGGGCCATGCCTGTGATACACTTCCCAGGGGGCGCTTCATTCTAAAGGACCAAGGGTAGTCGTTTAGCACCAAAGAAACCTATGCTGGGAATATTTTGTAATGTAAGTGTATTAAGTCAACATGTTGTGTAACTTAAACATACACAATGTTATATGTTAATTATATCTCAATAAAGCTGGGAGGATGGGACAAAAATCAAAGAAGCCCACTACTAGTGTGAAGGTAATCTTGGGCTGAATCTTGCTTTCCAGCTGCTGTGGCTTCAGATCCTCTGCAGACCATTGTCCCTTATCATTTTAGGCTGGTTAATGTGCTTTGGTCACCAGCAGTCTTCTTGTTGCTGAGGCCATGCCTCAATAGCTTGTTTAGATCTGGAGGTTTCCCAAGCTTCTTTGGCAGTATATGTGTGGATCACCTCTCACCCGTTCCATGGGGCTTTACTTCAAATGGGATTTTTGTTCTGACCTTGGTCCCAGCTATCAGGTGCTTGTTACTGTAGCTCTGTGCTCAGTTCAGCCTCGTGCCAAGCGTTGGGAAATGAGCTGAGAACAAGCCAGACACAACGCCCTGCTCTCAAGGGACTTAGCGTTTTTTGGGAAAGACAGAGATTAATGAGAAATGTGATGAAATTTATGAAAGCAGAAGTCAGGGTGCCATGGAACATGCTATAAGGGGGCGAATGTGGTGTAGGGGTGAAGGACGGCTGCCTAAGGAATGGCCTTTACAGTCTTGAAGGGTAAGAAGGAGTTAGCCAGACAAAGGGGGGCAGATGAATCTCAAGGCCTAAGGAACTGAAAGGAGCATGAGGGGAGAGGGGAGGAGAGCTCTAGGTGAGGCAGGGCCAGAGATGAGCCAGGTCAAAGGTTGGGCTTTTATCCTGGGGACAGCTTGTCGATAAGGGTTTTCAGGTATTTGTTGGAGGGAACAGGGGGCATGGTCAGATTAGTATTTTTAAAGGATCACTTGGCTGCAGAGTGAAGATTAGATTAGGGAAGGGAGGGGAGGTTGTTATAAGAATGGAAGCCGAGGGATAATTGGGGGGGTGTTGCAGTATTCCAGTCATAAAGTAACTGTGACGTTGATTTGGGGATGGAGTGAGGTGGGCTGGAGTGTGCCATTGGGGTTGGAGAGAACTGGACAGATTTTAAAGAAGTTCATTACAGGATTTGAAGTTCATCAGCAGTACATGAGGAGTTAGGGATGACTTAGCTTCAACTTAATGGGAACCAGAGAGGGGAAGCAGCTTTGTAACTTCATCGTCTTAGCTGTTTTACTCATTATGTAGCTGAAAGTGTCCTTAAGTGGAGTTTGGGAACCCTGAAATTTCACTGAGATTCTGGGGGTTGTCAAAACCAGAGGTGCCTGCAGAGGTTGTAGAGGAAGGAGGCAGAAAAGTAAGGGACTGGTGGATATTCTGTGAGGGCCTGGGCTGACGGAGTTACAGACAGAAGTGGTATCTTGCAGGGGCTGGTGAAGGGTGAAAGAAACTGAAAACTGGATTGTAAAACCTTTTGTTGTAGGCAGCAGAATGGCATCAGGTGTCTGACCAGTGAGGTTAGACGGGACCTGGGTTCAGCAACCTCTGCACTTGGGTTCTGGCTAGGAAAGTATTCAGAGCCAAGACCCAGACTACAAGAGAACGTTTATTTGGTAAAATTACAGAAGTGGGAGAAGTAGTTTCTAGAAGAAATGGGCTTAGGAAATAAGTTTTAGAGGCAAAGGAAGGGCTCTTGGAGTTTGGGATTGAGGAAGGTAATGGTAACATGCCTGGGGGTGAGGGTGGGGGAAAGGAAAAGGCACGGGCAAGCTCCCTGGGAGGGAGAGAGCACTGGGTCTTCCATCCTAAGGGTTTTAAGGGTGGAGATTTTAGAGGCAGTCCCAGGGAAAGATCTCAGTAGAATATTCAGCAGTTTTCCAGGTTTCCAGGTGTGACCTCTCAAGGTCTAGGTTCCACTGATTGATTGGTGGGTTCCGGGGGTGGGGGGGTGTAATTATTCAACACAGCTGATTCTCAGTCAGCTGTGGCTGGTTTTGTTGCTTTTCTGGGCCTGGAGCTGAAATACAACTGAGGCCTAGATGTTATCTCTAGGAAGGAATGGCCAAGGGGTCCAAACTGCATGGCCAGTGATATGCTAGGGGAGAAAAGGTCACCTTGGGGGCAAAGTCCCACCCTACAGTTGTTCTTTGCTTTCCACCCTGGTGACCTTCTGTACCTGGCCCATGTCCTTGCTCTGCTGATGTCTGTTGTAACTGCCAACCACACTTTTAGATCCTTCATGGGCTCTCCTGTTGAACTGTGTGTGAATTGCTCTTTGTTGCAGAACTTTGTCAGGGGGCTTTAGGAAGGAAAGATTGGGTATGACTCTAAAATCTCATCAAGGGTTAAGAGATTAGTGTTCTCTGTCCCTCCTTATCCCTGGAAGGGAAGGGAACTCAGTGACGGGCCACTCTCCCCTTCTGCGGACTCACCCTTCCCAGCCAGGAGTGGCTGGTCTCTGACTCATGAACAGTTCCTCAGTTTCCAGCCTTGATCTCACACCAGCTCTCTGGGTTTTCTGGCCATAGGAGTCGGATTCAAGTACGTGGCTCTGGGAGACCTCGTCATCCTCATCACCTTTGGCCCGCTGGCCGTGATGTTCGCCTACGCTGTTCAGGTGGGGTCCCTGGCAGTCTTCCCACTGGTCTACGCCATCCCCCTTGCCCTTAGCACTGAGGCCATTCTCCATTCCAACAACACCAGGGACATGGAGTCCGACCGGGAGGCAGGCATCGTCACTCTCGCCATCCTCGTCGGCCCCACCTTCTCCTACATGCTCTACAACATGCTGCTCTTCCTGCCCTACCTCATCTTCAGCATCCTGGCCACACACTACAGCATCAGCCTGGCACTGCCCCTGCTCACCATTCCCATGGCCTTCTCCCTTGAGAGACAGTTCCGAAGCCAGACTTTCAACAAACTGCCCCAGAGGACCGCCAAACTCAACTTGCTCCTGGGGATCTTCTACGTCTTCGGCATCATTCTGGCACCAGCGGGCAGTCTTCCCAAACTCTAAGGGGACCAGGAGCTCCTCCATCAGTATGTCCCCCTATCTGAGGCTGTGTTGAAGGCACAGCCTCAAGAGAGGTGATTTGGCAGCGAGGGGCCTAAGGATGGCTTATGAACTCCCACCTGTTTTAAATTATTAAGTTCTTAAAGATAATGTTTTGTTCTGTTTTATGGGGAATCTTGAACCCACTGGTATCAGAAGGTGAACTGGCTGTATGGCCCTTGTTTTATTTATAATTTCCACTAGAGGGTGTTGTTAGGTCACTTTAGAGGGGACTAAAAGGCCCAAGGACTTTGTGAAGGAGCCACCTGAGTTGGCCTCCAGTCCTGAAAGTCATAGTAATTGGGCCAAGTGTCCTCCTGTTATCTTGGTCTTGAAGGATATGGTAATGACTGGTGTCAGGCCCACATGATACCAAAGAGCGCCTTCCTCTGAGCATATGGGTCCTGAAATATACCACCAGAGAAAGTCCCTCATTAACAGCCTAAAGTTGCTCTCGAGTATTTACCTAAATTGAGATTCAGAGGTTTTTGTCCTTCATCTCTCTTTTCACTTCTTGCTACTGTTGAGGAAAAGTGTCACATCACCTGCAGCAAGACAATCTAGAGGGGACCGGGAAGGGGAAAAAAAAAGACCCATCCCTGGAGGCAGCTGGGAAAATCACTCTGCTTCGGGATAGAAATGGGCAGAGCAGCTGTTCTCCCTCTGTAGAATCTGCTGGAGTGACAGGAGTGGCTCCCAGCCCTTTCCACAACTATTAGGAGCCCTGGAATTTTAGAAGCACTGCTCTCCTTGCCAGCTACTTACCGCCCACAAGGCTTCTTCCTTCCCTGCCCCCATTGCCTCTCCTAATGCTCCCTGACTCCCACCCTCCATTTCTATCCGGTTCCCATTTGTTTGCCTCCCATCCCAGCAGCCTGTTTGCACAGCAGCTGAGCAACTGAGTCTGGGACAGTTGCCACTTTCTGCATAGCCACAGGATGAGGAGACCAGGGACACCAGCTTCTCCATGAAGGAATAATCCAGTAGACAAACAGTCCTGACCCTGTTCAGACAAATGATAGGCCCTGCCAGGGAAGGAACTGTGTCTTCCTCCTTGAGGACAAATGTGCAGTATTGACACTACTTCTCCCAGAGGCTTCAGTTGCCTTGTGCAAAGATACTTTGCACCCAGAATGGGGGAATTCCAACGTTGATCAAAGCTGCTTTTTATTTAGTTGCCTGTGAAATATAATTTCTGGGCTAGAACTGCTCAGTTGCATTTGGTCTGAGGTTGAAATAGATTGAGGCCATCACGTTATATTTTTCTGCTGTGATGATAGCCATTCTGATAGCTGTTTCAGGGGCTTGGCCTGCAGAAAATGACCTGAGAAGTAGTTCTTAATCCTTAAAATCAAGCTAATTATATGATTTGGCTCCTTGAGTTGGAATTGGTCAGCTTACTTGGAAAACACAGATCTGGAAATTGCAAAAGTTCCTCTGAAGTTGAAGGTGGTTTGTCTGCAGAGATCTGGAACCCTCAGATAGTGGTCAGAGCCTGTAACAAGGGAAACAGCCCTTCTTCCCAGCACCATTTTTGTGTTACACCAGGCTTGTGGCATTTGGTGCTCACAGAGGTCCTCCCTTCAGAGACCAGCTCTTTGAGCACCTCCTCAGAGCAGGCTGTTTTCACAGAGGGCTCAGCCCTGAGGCTGTAGGACCAAGAACTTCCTGCGTTCATCCATAGACCTGACCCACCTTTGTAAGGGCTCCTGTTGGGGTGTCAGCCTCCGCATTGTGTTCTGGTGCAGATTTTAATGCAGATTTTTATATACAAATATTCTAAAAGGCCAAACTTGGTGCCAGGTTTTATATGCAGGTCACCATAATTTGTATCACATCCCCTGATTCAATGAAAGTTTTCTTTAGACTTGTTAATAAAAATTTTTTTTATTAGTTTCTGTTTTTTCTTTGCTTTCCCCTACTTCTTGTCTTGTCTGATTATGAACTCTGATTCATAAATCTCAGGAGACCAGCACATAGGCATTGGGACATTTGGTGGGGATGGGGTGCATGATCTTTAGTGATGAAGATCATGCCCCACCCCTACTTTGGGTAGGATTTGACCAGATTTGATGGAGCCTGTAGAAAAGGCAGTAGGAGCCACTCAGAGCCAGTCAGGCCAGATTAACCTTGTTTCCTGTCCTTTCCTACTTTCATGTTTCTTTTTTCTTGAGAGGGTCACTGTGTTGATAGATTGAGAACGTGGAGTAGATAGAGCAATTTGGGTTTCAGTGAGGCATTTGACAATCTATCCTTATGAACAAAGCAGAGAGATGTGGAGTAGATAACAGTCTAGTTAGGTGACTTTCTGGGAGACTGAACAAGCTGTGGGAGAGAGCTCACTGATCAGCATGCCAGGCAAGGAAGCCTTTAGCAGCAAGTGTGGGCCTGCCCTCTGCCCTCTGCCCAGCCAGGTTCAATACTTGTTACAGATCAGAATTAGACAGCCCAAATCGCAGGTTTTGTAAATCTTGGAGGAAGAGCTTATAAAATGACAACAAATCAAAAGGTGGCTTTGATGTGTCAAAGGAAAAACTTAACATGAATAGCCCTAGCCAGTTTGCTCATAGAGCATTGGCCCATGGACTGAAGGATCCTTGGTTTGATTCTAGTCAAGGGCGCATACCTCTGTTGCAATGTCATCCTGGGCCCTTGTTGTGGCGCGTGCAGAAGGCAACCAACCAATGTGTCTCTCTCAGGTCAGTGTTTCTCTCTCCCTTCCACTTTCTCTGAAAAGCAATGGAAAAAAATTTCCTCAGGCCCGGCCTGGCATGGCTCAGCTATTGAGCATCGACCTAGGATCCAGGAGATCGAGGTTCAATTCCCGGTCAGGACACATGCCCAGGTTGCCGGCTCGATCCCCAGTTGGTGGCGTTCGGGAGGCAGCTGATCAATGACACCCTCTCATCATTGATGTTTCTCTCTCTCTCTTCCTCTCTCTCAAATCAGTAAAGATATATTTTTTAAAATCCTCAGGTGAGGATTAATAAACAAAACAACATGGTTAAATATGAAGCAATATACTTGGGCCCCCAAAATCAACTGTTTAATACCCAAAGGGGAAGCTCCCTGGAGTGATGACAGTAGATGTGGTGGATATGATTTTTATTAATGACACTGGGATACAACATTGCATACTTTTATTTCTGTGACCCAGATTTATTCTGCTCCCCAATGGGGTGGCTAGAAATTTAGCCACAGTCACCTCTCAGGCTGGCCCCCATCCCTGTAGCATCATCCAGGAGTCCTGGCCTCTGTGGGGCCAGAAGCCAGGGATGTTCGCTGGCCCTTGCTCCATTTGCTCAGTATCTCTAAAGTCACTTCTCTGCTACTTCATGCTGGGGTTCAGTCCTGGCATCTACCCGTGTTCCTTGGACACTGCTCTGGAAGGGCTCCGGATGCCCCTGACAGCAGCCCTCTTTGCTGACGAGTACCATGGCCTGCAGGGCTCTAGTCCGTGCAGCCCCATCCCCATTTCTGCCCAGCCTCCAAAGCACCCACTCCCTCTAGGACCTGCCTCGTCCACCTCCCCTACTCAAAGTGTTTCTCTCGCCCCCCACCCCTCGCAGGACCTTTGCACAAAGTCCCACCCAGTGCCCTTGGAAGCCCAGTGCTGGCCCCATGGTGGAATGAGGAAAGTGCAAGTACATAATTTATTGTCTTACTCTTCTGTCATTCTGGCATTAAAACAAGCAAGAATCTGAGCCTGTGACCTGACCCAAAGCTCTGTTTGAGTTGGTGAGCTCTGACTTCCATGGAGGTTAATGTGGCCTGAGGTGGAATTAATAGATTAGCGTCCATAACAAAGGACACTAAAGGCACAGGTTCTGCCCATCCCCGTGTTGTCAGACCACAGGTGGAAAGCTGGGTCTGTTCCCAGGCACCTTTCCTTCTTTCTGAGTTTCTCTTTCATTGATAGAGCAAATACAGTGGTGGATCAGGAGCACGCTGCGGGTTCAGTACGCTTGGACTCCAGCAAGGCATTTGACAGTAGGATGTGAAATGTGGAATGAATGAAAACCCAGTTAGAGGAACTTTATTTCTACGGCACATGCATGTGTTTTCACACTGGAAGCTGCTGCAGCAGAGATTTTACGTCTCAGTATGGGAACCACATTTTGAAGCTGTTATTAACAAACTGGACCTTGTCCAGAAAGCACTAGGCAGACTGGTGAGGGCGCTTAAAACCACATCAACGTGGAAAGGAGACTCACAAGAGGGCTGTTTTGGGGAAAAGAGATTGGTTTTTGGTGGTTTGTGTGTTTTTTTGCGTGTGACTTATATGGCCCCAAGTTTTAGCTCTTAGGTCAGGAAGAAGTTTCTAGCCGCTAGAGGAATGGCAAGTGAGATGTTTGACATGTCCCAGTGGGCGGTGAGTTCCCTGTGACTAGAGGCATTCAAGCGAAAGGAGGATTCCTTGTCAGGAACACTGAAGCGAAGAGTTGGACCTCAGAGAAGGGTGTGTGTGAGGAGACCCCCAGGGTCTTCCGATCCTGCCATACGATTGTTCTGTAGTTAAGGGATTATCTCAGACCTGTCCCCAGGGGTTGGGAAGACAGAGTACAAGAAAGTTGTTGACATTTCCTCTTCATGATGTTAGGCTGTGGTCTGTCCATTTTCACAGGCACAGCTGTGGTTGACATTCTTTTTTTTAGGTTATACACACACATGCACACCTGTGTGCATGCCTGTGCACACGCACACACACACACACATACACACACAGTTGACTTCACCCTCAGAAGCCTTTGAAGTGAGGTGGATGACAGCTCCCTTCCTCCGAGCCCCGCGGACCACTGTGCTGCTAATGGACTGTCAGCCTCCTTCATTACGGGCTCCAGACTGTGCCGCTGGGGTAAACGCAGTGCCTCTGGCGAGAACCTGGCTCTCAGGTCTCAGCCAGTTGACATTTGTGATTTGCCCTGCTTCAAATTGGGACAGCCCTCCCACCACGAGTAACCAAGCCAGGATGCCAAACAGTGGCGTAAAGCAAGCTGGGTCGCCTGCCTGAAGAGGTGACAAGGGCCGAGTCTGGGCTCTTCAGGAGGGCCTGCAGACAGGTTCCTGGGAGGTTACGGGGGAGGCTGTAATTGGAGGGCACAGACCCCTCAGTGCCCCTCACCCACCTCAAGAATGTAGGAGCTCTGAGGAACGCGTGCGAGGGATAGTGAGAGTCTTGATCACATGCCCCCATCCAGGTTTCAGGGGTAAAGGGAAGTTGGTTTGGGGCCCTACTATGGTGCTAATATGTCCATAGAGGCAGCCCCATGTGGTGTGACTCTCAGGGCACCCCAAGCCTGAGACCTGGCAGGGGAGATGAGCAGTTGGAGGGAGAGGAGGCACCATAGGTCCTGCTGGGTGCCGCCCTCAGCCTTGGCACTGGCTTGCTGCCCTCTGGTCTTCAAGATGAGGCCCCCTCAGGCCCTCTGCCCTCTGTCCTCCAGCTCCCCAGGAGGCCGGCTCTACAGGGATCAGTAAGCCTGCTTGTCTAACCTACTCTGGCTGGCTGGCTGGGCTAAACTTTCCAGTCAAAGTCTTCCCATCCCTCATTAACGGAGAGTGGTCACTTACCGACAACACAGGAAGGTCTGGTCTCAGGTTAAATTTCTACTCCTGTTCCCCCATCTGCCTGTGTATTTTCTCTGCTTCTTGTAGTCCTCACCAGGCCACTGAATCCAAGTGTCTGCTTCCTGAGAATGTGCTGGCCACCTGGGGGAGACTGAGAGCCCCTCCCCATGGTCAGGGGGAGCAGCCCAGATGGTGATAGTGACGCATGTTTGGGACACAGAAGACTCACTCTTTGGGTTCAGTGAGAGGAGGCTGACGCATGTCAGGTATAAGAGTAAACACTGACAAACAGTGCACTGAGGTTAGAGATGGGGTACCGGATGGAGCTAATCAGGAAGGCTTCCAGGAAGAGGTGATGATGAGCAGTGATGAAGGCTTTTAGGAAGAGGCGGCCATGAGGGTGATGATTGTTTTCTTCAAAGCTGAGGTGCTGGTAGACAGCTGTCCCCAATTCCCCCAGCTGGAGAAAGTCCCCTGATTTCTGCCTGAGAATGTGGAAGTTTTTCTTAACCTCTCTGGCTGCACAGACAAACAGCTGCAGCATTGAGGCAGTTGTGCAAAGGCCCATCACACCACTGGCAAGGTCAAAGCCTGAAGAATGAAAGACCCTGACACCTCCTTGCTGAGAAACAAACAGGAGGGATGGTGGGACATTAAATCAGCCAAGACTGCCAATACCTAATCAAGACAAATGGCCCTGAGAGATGAGGCCCAGGGGAAGTATCGTGTTAGGGGAATGCGAAGACTGCCTTGGCTCTGGGCTGCACTGAGGCCAGGGAATGCTAGGCGAGGAGGAGTCCAGGTTCAGGGGAGATGCCAAGGGGGTCAGAGTTCACGTCTATCACCAACTGTCACCCACTAGGGCCTTTTAGCTGACACTTTCCCTGGCCAAGGACCATAGCCTACTGAGAGCTTGCTCTGGGCCAGCTCTGTCCTAGGACTCAAGATAAACAAGGCATGCCCCTGCCCTTTAAGGAATCACGTGAGCTGGTGGAGAGATCACATACACATAAATTATTCTGATGCCATTCCACGTGTCATAGTAGAGGCTCAAAGGACTGTGGGAGAATTAGGGTAGCAGAGATTAATGTCTTCACGCCCCATTGTTCCAAACTGCTTGTGACAAGAGCCTGTTTTACCCGTCTTCTGACCTCTGATCCTCTCTGGCACCATCTGCAGGTGGCTGCAAGGCCAGTCTGTCCCTCACCATTAATTGAGCAAATATTACTCCATAGCACTCGTCTAGGCTCTAGGGTATAATGGTAAATAAGACCTGGCCCCTGGCCTCAGGAATCTCACAGTCCCAAGGGAAAGACACAAACTGGTATTCCTCATGC